GTCAGCTGCGTCAGCTGCGTCAGCTGCGTCAGCTTCCGAGCCGGACTCTGACGAAGAAGCGTCGCTTGAGCTATCGGAATCATCCGAGGAGCCTGATGAGCTCTCGTCGGATTCGACTAGCGCTCGCTGGCTGACGCTGGAGCTGGGTTCGGCGGTGTCTCCTTGGAGAACTTCGATCACCGGCCTCTTTGGAGTGGATCCCGAGCTGGAAGGGTGCGGCTGGCGCTGCTCTTCGAGGGCGGCTATTCTGGCGCGTTGTTGGAGGATGGACTCGATGTCGAGGGCGCCGTCAGCTCCGCGATTAGCTTCGAAAAGCGCCGACGGACCAAGATCAAGATCGGAGCTGGAGAGCGGCTCAGCGCTGGAGAGAATGTCTGCCAAGCCGGCCTGCTCGACTTGTGAGTCCTCGGGCTGCAAACCGCCTCCACGCATGAGCTCCTGGAGCGACTTGGCAGCAAGCAGGCTACGTTGTACCGCCGGATCCGATGCGGCGGGTGCATGAGCCTCTTCAGGGTGAAGTTCAGCCTCGGCGTCGTGGCTGCTGGCCATGCGCTCGAGTACTGCTCTGCGAGAGCGCTCGAGTTCGGTGCGACGGCGCTCGAAGTCAGATTGAGCGTTCGCAGCCCATTGGATTGCGGAAAGAGAATCGTCCGAGGCAAAGGAGGCATCGTGCGCAGACTCGGCGTCCAGAGCAGCCGAAGCCGGCGATGACACATGATTGAGCCGAACACGTTGCTGAAGGTCTCGAAACTCCTTGCTGGGCCGTGGGAGGCGGACGCGACTGCGTGAGCGAGGCAGGTTGTGGAGAGACGACGAGGATGGGGATGCAGCAGCGGATGCTTGTGGGGAGGGGTGCGATGGTGACTGGAGCGCGTCGCCGATGCGTGAGCTGAGGTCGACGATCCAGGAGACTTCATCGAAGCGCTGGTATGCCGAGGTGGAGACGCGTGGGCGACGCGGATTGCTTGGGCTGGACATGCTGTGCTTCGACTGCATTCTAGCAGGTGATGGCGCTGAAGGGATGGGCGAGGCTGCCGAGCCTACTGCGTGAGCACCGATGGAGGATTGTCGAGGACGTGAGGGCGTGCCGAGCTGATGCAGTGAGACGTCGCCAGATGCGGAAGGAGGTACGTAGCGAGGACGCTGGAGCGTGGTCTGCGAGGTGCCGTTGATGTGGTCGGCCGGCATGATGGCAGGAAAGAGGTTGACTAAACTGAGCGTACGTGTCTGGCAGGCGAGGCGCGGTGATGACCCTTGCAAACGGCCGCTCGAGCCGATATGGGTGGATAAGCCGGTGGCCGTGGCCTGGATGGAAGAGAAGGAGGATGAAGGTGGGTAGGCACAACGAGAGTTGCAGCGGATTGAGGCGCGTCACAGAACATGAATCGAGATTTTTGGTGCATCTGAAAGGCAATCGAAAGTGCGAATTCCGAGCGGGCGCGCACCAGCCACTCCACCTCCAAGAGCTTTGAGGTGGAGTGCGCCCACTCTGCAGACGCTTTCGGATCGGCACGCGAGTGGCCACATCGGCTTGGCTGGTGGGATCATCGGTCGATCTAAAGTGTTCATTCTGCCACGCCGTCTGCTCTCTGAAGCGCATCTCAACGGACGCAGCCAAAGACAAAGGGACGCCGCTAGACTTGGCCACACACGAGGTGAGTTCAGGGCGACCAGCGTCTCACACATGTCCGTCAGATGAAGTTCATCTCAACTTCAGTTGACTCGTGAAGATGGCGCCAACAGGCGACAAGACGAGATTGGACCCTGGCGTAAGGAGGTGGGTTTCTGCGGTTGCTCTGCTCAGGGTCTTGGCTGGACTGGCCAGAGTGAAGCGCTCTGAGTCTCGAGACTCGAGGTTCGTTGCAGGCTTGGTTGGTTGGTCGATTGATCGGCTGGCTGGCAGGCTGACAGGCAGCTGAGGCTTGGGGTGGATCAGCAGCGGGCGTTTGGGTCACGACTCACACTCTGACACCCATGCATCCCACGCACGAATGCATGCCTTGTCTCGCAATGCGGCGCTCCCTCCGCCTCTCGCTTGGCGTGGAAACGAACCGTGGATTTTTCGGGCTTTGCCGACTGGTGTCCTGCTGGCGTCGCCGTCGCTCTACACGTGCAGCTTTTGGGCGGCCTTGGCTGCTGTCTGCAAGTCACGCGGATGAGGGTCCGATCCGTGCTTGCCTGGAAGGCGACGACCGCAACTCAGCTCCGCAGGCAGGAAAGAAGCAGTGGGGCGGTCGGTCACCGGCGAGTGGGCGTCGGGTCGAAGCCATGCGCACTGTGGCGTGGGCAAGGGCGAGTGGGCAGGAGAAAATTCCAACTCAACCGCTGCTGCTGCTGGTGTGAAGGGAGAGTCGTGATTAGAGTCTAATCCAGCGCGACTCGCCGGGCATCTGCGCAGAGAGAGGGGGAGCGCTTCGCTCGCTCTTCGGCCCTTTCTCGTCTAGAAGCTAGTTTCTGACAGAGCAAAGGAGCGGCCCGGAGAGCAGAGAGGTCTCGGGCCGCCCCCTGTCACGTCCGTCGGCTTGGGCTCGCGGTGCGTCTTCGAACCTGCTGCATTTTTGGCGCTGACCTCTGCCGTTCCACTGCAGCTTCCGAGTCTGCGTCGGCGCCCGAGCAGCCTTTTTCCTTTGCTGCTGGAGTCGCGCGTGTGTGTCTGAGAGCAGGACTCAGCTCACTCTCGGAAGCCAAAAAGGTGCCTCGTGCGCACAGCCAAGCCAGGACCGCGCGGCGCAGCTCTGCTTCCTTGGATGGATGGATGGATCTTCACCTTCCAGCAGCAGCAGCGGCATCAAAGCGGATCGACGACAGCACCCTCAGCTCGTTTGGCCCGGCCCCCCACTCCGCACTGCACTGCACACCCTTCCGCCTGCTTCCTCAGCCTCAACCTCATTCCGTCTTCTTTCCCCAACTCGATTGCCGTCGTCACCACCCTCCTCCTCTTCGGCCTCTGCTTCCCCTCTGTCCGCCATCGTTCTCTGCACCGTCGTCGTGTCTCGTGCCCCCACCACCACCTTGACGCGCGTCCGCTGCTCTGCGGTGCCCAACACACTCGACCCTTCGCTCACCTCCTTTGTGCCAGCTCGCTGATCTCAAAACACTCCATTCGATCCCCACTGCATTCCGCCGGCCTCGAGCACATCAGCTTTCGGACATCAAGCCCCGCGTCTCCCGTTTCTCCTACATTGGTTTTGCGCGCATTCCCGGATCTCCTGCCACTGCCGTCGCATCCGCCTGCATCCTTGCAAAGCTGCCTGCGTCTACGCTTTAACTTCTAGGTGCCAAACGCGGGTCGTCTTGCCTGCCAAGCCTCACTACCTTCCTCTCACCCCGTACGTCACGTCACGCACGCCTCCATCATGTCAGTGCCAGGTGCCGACTTGCAGGAGCGCATCGCCGCCGCTCGCCGTGAGGCCGACGGCCTCAAGGAGAAAATCCGCGCAAAGAAGGATCAGATGGCCGACACCAGCCTTCGAGCCATGGCCAACGACATCGAGCCTTTGCCACGTATCGTCATGAAGCCCCGTCGCACCCTCAAGGGTCACCTCGCCAAGATCTACGCCATGCACTGGGCCAACGACAAGCGCCATCTCGTCTCGGCTTCTCAGGACGGGAAGCTCATCGTTTGGGACGCCTACACCACCAACAAGGTCCACGCCATCCCACTTCGCTCCTCGTGGGTCATGACCTGCGCCTACGCCCCCTCGGGCAACTGGGTCGCCTGCGGTGGCCTCGACAACATCTGCAGCATCTACTCGCTCCGCGGCCGCGACCCCAACAACATCAAGGTCGGCAGGGAGCTCTCGGCGCATACCGGCTACCTCAGTTGCTGTCGCTTCCTCAACGACCAGCAGATCCTCACCTCCTCTGGCGACATGAGCTGCATCCTCTGGGACATCGACTCGGGCACCCGCATCACCGAATTCAACGACCACACCGGCGACGTCATGAGCATCTCCCTCAGCCCCAACCCCAACGTCTTTGTCTCGGGCGCCTGCGACGCCATGGCCAAGGTGTGGGACATCCGTTCCGGCAAGGCTGTCCAGACCTTTGCCGGTCACGAGAGCGACATCAACGCCGTCCAATTCTTCCCCAACGGCGACGCCTTTGCCACCGGCTCCGACGACGCTTCGTGCCGCCTCTTCGACCTGCGCGCCGACCGAGAGCTCAATACCTACACCCACGACAACATCCTCTGCGGCATCACATCCGTCGGCTTCTCCGTCTCCGGCCGCATCCTCTTTGCCGGCTACGACGACTACACCTGCAACGTCTGGGATACGCTCAAGGGCGAGCGCGTCGGTGTGCTCGCCGCCCACGAGAACCGCGTCTCGTGCCTCGGCGTCAGCACCGACGGCATGGCGCTCTGCACCGGTTCCTGGGACTCGCGCCTGCTGGTTTGGGCTTAGCCACGCTCTCTATTTTAGGAAGCCACACGCGCGATCCAGACCTTTGCTGTCGCCATATACCCATCCCCTTTTTCCCACCACCACAGATCGCTCTCTCTCCCGACCGCATCGGTGCTCACGAAAGACGACGGCGGCGGCCGAGCCTCATCACGAGCGGCACACGAGTGCGAGCCCTCTATGCGTACTCGTCGCGTTGTCCTGTACCCTCTTCCCCTTGCATTTTGTCATCCTAGCATCCCTCCTTCACTCCACTCTGCCTGCCTGCCGAGGCCCATATCTCACGCTCTCTGCGCGCTTACAGCGGCACAAGCACGGCCTAGCGGGTCCTCACCGCGGCTTCCCGCTCCCTCGAGATGGCCCCCCGGTACGCTCTTGCCACCTTTTTTTTT